GGCCTGCTGACTTAAACGCATCCAGTCCTTCCAAGTGACTCTGCAACATCTCGGGGTCAACGCTTGGTAGTCTGGTGCCCTGCTGTTGTCTCTCTACAATCCCATTGTGAGACTTGTTTAGGAACACTGAGGCAAAGAATTCATTGAGGAGTTCAGCCTTGTCCCCCCTGTCTGTCACCAATTGCTTTTGCCTGTTCAGTAGTGGTCCTATACTGCCCTGGTCCTTCCTTTTACTCCCTATATATCTGAAAAACAATTTTTTGTTATCCTTAACTTGGGATGCCATCCTCAGCTCCATGGTAGCTTTGGCCTTTCTAACTGCCTCCCTACAACTGCGAGCTGAGGAGGTATACTCCTCTTTAGTAATCTCTCCCTGTTTCCACTGCTTATATGCCCCCCTTTTTGCCCTTAGGCTGCTCTGAATTTCTCTGGTCAGCCAAGGAAGCCTCTTGGCCCTTTTCCCCTGCATCGGGATCATCTCCCTCTGTGCCCAAAGGATCACTTCCTTAAGGCACAACCACCCTTCCTGGGCTCCCATCTTCCCAAACCTCTTACTCTGCGGTGCATCATTGACTAAACGCCTGAGTTTGCTGAAGTCAGCCTTCCTAAAGTCTAGCACTTCTACCCTACTAGTTACCTTACCTGCTCTATGCCTTACGATGAATTCTATTATTTGGTGACCACTGATCTGTAGGTCCCCTACCATGTAATCGCATGTTGCCAATACCAGGTCCAGTAAGGCATTCCCCCTAGTGGGACCATGTACCTCCTGTGTCAGGAGGTCCTGTACACAGGATAGGAACCTGCGTGAACGGTGGGAATTTGCTATCTGTGTTTCTCAGCAGATGTCAGGGTAGTTTAGGTCCCTCATGACTACCGCGTCCCTAGTCTTTATGGTCTCCAAGAGCTGCCTCAGGAGTTCCAAATCTAGTTCTTCCCCTTGGTGTGGGGGTCTGTAGCAGACCCCTACCACCAAATCCCTTTCCCCTTGACCTCCATGTATCCTAACCCACAATCCTTCTACATTCTCTTCCTCCGATTCCATTTTTATAAGGGTTGATTGTATAACACTCCTTGACATAGAGCACAACCCGTCCCCCTCTCCTCCCCACTCTATCCTTTCTGTACAGCTTATAGCCCTCAGTGTGTACCGCCAGTCGTGGGTGGAGTCCCACCAGGTTTCTGTTAGCCCCACTAAGTTGTAAGTGGTTTCTGCAAGCGGGAGTGCTAGTTCATCCTGCTTGTTCCCCATGCTCCTATCATTAGTGTATAGGCACCTGAGCCCTGTGACTGGCGCCTTTTGTTGCCCCCCGGCTCTGATGCCCAGTGGGCCCCTTATTGCTTACCTGTGCTGTACTGCTGGACGTCCCATGGATTGCAGGTACCTGATGTTCTCCTTCTTCTGCCTCCCTGTCCCCCGTCTGAGCTAGTTTAAAGCCCAACGTAGGAGATCAGCCAACCTGTTGGAGAAAATACTTTTACCTTTCACTGAGAGGTGAAGTCCATCGTGCCCCAGGAAGTCCCTTGTCAGGAAGTGTGGGTCGTGGTCCAGAAAGCCAAATCCTGCACTATGGCACCAACTCCTGAGCTGCAGGTTGACCTCTCTGATGCAGGCGCTGTGATGCCTACTGTGACCTCTGACCAGGAGAATGGACGAGAAGACCACCTGCGCCCCCGTCTCCCTAAGCCTGGCCCCCAGAACCCTGTAGTCACCCATGACGTGGTCGGGACTACTCCTGGCCACGTCATTGGTTCCCACATGGATGAGGACCATGGGATAGTAGTCTGAGGGCCGGATCAGGTCAGTCCTTCTTGCAGTCCTCTGGCCCTCTCCAGAGTTGAATTGCTTCAAGTTCTTTCCCCTCTGGACTGTGTGCTCTGTTGCTGGGGGATTTTGATCTCCAAGATGAACATGAGCTGCCAATGCCAGATCGCATCCAGCAAGGCCACCCGTACCTTGTCATGCATCCAAAGGTGCATCTCAGGCCGGTCCAGAGAGGTGATACTCTCCCTCTATGCGACTTTGGTCAGGCTGCAGTTGGAGTACTGCATCCAGGACTGAGCGCCGTACTCCAAAAGGGATGTGGCCAGCCTGGAGAGGGTTCAGAGGA